ACATTTTTAGGTGAATAATTCAAGTTAGGTAATTCTTATGGTTCCCCCCCCCCCCCTTAAATAAATAGGAGAATATTCAAATTATGTCTTTTACAGATATCCCTCTCTTTTGTTGTGCCAAATCTCATTCTTACATAGGTTTCTTTTATTATTTTTTCCTTTATGTAGTAAGCATTTATCTGAGTTTTCTGTGTATATGTCGTTGTATCTGGACTTGGGGGATTCTAAGAATGGGCAAGTATGTTTCCTATCCTGAAAATGAGAAGAGTTGAACTCTGAAGTGTTGTACTATCATTTTTTATTTGAATATCTGACAAGTTTACTTAACTCATCTTCTCTATCCTGCCTCAACTTACTATTTCCACAGTTCCTGTTTTTTGGAATGATCCCATCACCTAGTCTTAAAAACCAGAATATTTGCAGTTATTTTTATTTTCTTCCCCTCTTCCACATACAACATTTAAATCAGTAAACTATATTGCTTCTGCTTCTTCTGTATCTGCTGCTACCTTAATTCAAATTCTCATCATTGTTATTTGGACTCCTTTAGTGATCTATATTGATTTTCCTGCTTCTAGTCTTTATCTTCTCCTGGTTGACCATTCCTCAGCTCCCAGAGGATGTGCCCAAATTGTAAAGCTGATCTTTTTCTTCCCCTGCTTACATTCTTCTCTTGTTCCTCCATTGCCTGCTAGCTGACCTTGAAACTACTTTGTATGGCATCTTTAGCTTTGTCTCTTATTGTTGATCAGTTGCTAAGTTCTGTCCAACTCTTTGTGACCCCATGGACTTTGTCACACCAGTCCCCTCTATCCTTCACTATCTCCCAGAGTTTGCTCAGATTCATGTCCATTGAGTTGGTGATGCTATTCAACCATCTCGTCCTCTGCCGCCTCCTTCTGCTTTGCCTTCAGTCTTCTCCAGCATCAAGGTCTTTTCCAGTGAGTTCGCTCTTCACCTCAGGTAGCCAAAGTATTGGAGCTTCAGCTTCAGCATCAGTCCTTCCATTGAATGTTCAGGGTCGATTTCCGTTATGATTGACTGATTTGACTATCTCTTGTTAGTCCTTCATAGCTTATGTTCTTAAACAAAATTACGTATTGCTTGGGTGGATAATGTTGTCTCGCATGTCTTTTCTTATGCAGTTTCTTTCTTCTGGAATGGCTACTCTTTCTATCTACTTCCCTTTGTAAAAATCATATTCACTTTTTACAATTGGATAAGTGCTTTCCAATGTTGTGTGAGTTTCTACTGTACAACATAGTGAATCATCTATAAGTATACGTATATCCCACCGCTTCTTGAGCCTCCCCACTTGCTACCTTTTCCTCCAAGTTCCTGAAATCCTCCTTGCATATATGATTACTTTCTGCTTTGTCTGATCATCGTACCCATGTTTATTTCTATCATTATACGTATTGCACTGAATTTCAGCCACTTGTTTGCTTATCCACTTCTTAAAATGATGTGAGGTTCAAGAATCAGAAAATCTGTTTTGTTCTTTGTATAGTCAACACAATACTGGGACTCAAGTGGTTGTTCAGTACATGTTGGACTGAAAGTAGGGATATAGGGGGAAAGCACTGTGAGTTAAAACAGAGGAGGCTTTCTAAAGAAAAAAGAATTTTAGTTGGGTTTTGGAGGAAAGATTGGGTACAGGTAGGGGGAGGTCAACTGGAAGAGAAATGGCTTAAGCAAAGATATAGTGGTGAAAATATTCTTAGTGTATCATGAGGTGGTTTCTGTTCCAAGGAGAAATTCATGTTGGAGAATATTGGAAAATACATTGGGACAATCAGGTTCACCTCCCATTAACTGTAATGAGAAGGTGATGAGTTCCATTTTAGGTATGTAGAAAGTGAAGTGATGATAGAACACACAGTAGTAATATGGAACTAGAGATATGCTATTGAATTTTGAGAGAGTGGAAAGAGTGGTAGAAGAGTAGGGGTTGAGGAATAAACTTACTTTATTTCTGTGCATTAGGAAAACAGAGAAGAACATATGTGAGGGAATCTTGAGGAAGAGCTGGTTAAATGTGTAAAGATTATTCACAAAGAGAATGAACAAAGAAGTTAAAAGAAAGCCTAAATGTTTTCTAAAGTCTGTTTGCCTCATACCCTGTTACCTGCACTCTAGGCAGCAAAAGTCAGTCAGCTGCTTCTCTGTCTCCAGGGTTGTCCTTGGAGGGACAGAATAAATGGTCCTGGTGAGATGGCTTAGCATGTTAGAAAAGAGCTCTGAAGAACTGTTGTTTGTTGTGTGGACTTTAGGGTCACATTTGAATCTTTACATATATTGCATGTATTTACATGTTTTTATCTATATTTACTCTTTTCACTTCCTGCCAGTTCCATAACATAATTTTGAATAGATGGTGGTTTTAATTTGCTTTCTAATGGGTAATATCTGAGTATTTATTTCATTATTCTACCTGTTTTAGTATTTCCAACTTGATTAGTTCTTTCTTGGCAGATCTGCCCTGACTGCTCCGTTATAAATGGAAAAGCCTTGATAATTTTTACAGAGACTCCAAGTTATTATAGAGCCTTGGAGTAAAACTTGCAGTGCTCTCATTTCTAGCATAGGTTATGTTGATTTGGCCTAAACTACTTTGTGCTCCATCAAAGTGATTGGTAAAACAGGCACAAAAAGAACAAATCATAGATGATCTAAAATTACTTCCATAGGGTTTCTTTCAGATTTGTATTATTTGAAGTATAAATGATAGTACTTAAATGTGGCTCCTCTTGATTGCTTTCAGTACATTGATAGTATTTTATTGATTGTGAAAGAAAAATATTTAACTTTGGATTCAATAAAATAAGACCAACTTATGAAAGCTTTTAGTTCTGCTGTACTGAGAGAAAGAATAAAGAGACAAGTGACCATTCTTTAGTTGAGGGCTTGCTTTTTTAATATGAAAGTTTTAGCTTTCTAGAGTCCTCAATCTCTTTTTGTGTGGTTTACATTGAAAATAAGTGAGAGAGAGGAACTTCCTGTTTTTGAGAGGAGTAGGAAGAATGTTTTGTCTAATTTGGGATCTCAGATGCTTTAAGGATACGTATGTCTTGTTTACAAACATAAAGTAAATGTTATTGGGTATCTTCCCTCTCAGTTTTGTTACTGAAGCTATGTATTTTATGTAAGTCAAATCAAAATATCAACAAGTACTATGCAGAGAAACAAGTTAGTCCATTGATTCAAATCTCTGGAATGTAGATTCTTTTCATTTTCTTGGCAGAGTCTAGCTCACATGGTTCAAGTTTTTCTCTATCCTGTTATAATTGTCTTATTTAACTAGTATCTGGACTAACCCTTATAATTAGTATTTATCTAGAATTCTTAATCTCATTCAAAATATTTGGAGATTCTGGTTTTTCTCTTGAACTAATTTCTACTTGTTGCTGAGTAGAAACATCATATAGTGATTAAGGAATGTATATTCTGAGAAGTCACATTTCTTAAGCTTTATATCTTTGGATGATACTAAGTATTAATATTATTGTTTTTAAAAAGAAAAGTTCCATTGTGAAACACAATAACTTTTCTTAAAATAGGACTTTTCACATTTTTTATTCTGTTAATGTATTATACATCATATGTCTACAAGAAGGTTTGCATAGCGTGGAGTGTTTCACATTTATTTGACTGCAGGACTCTTTTTTTGGGGACTGTTTTTGTCATGCTTTATGGGACTGTTGGTGTAGTGGGAAGATGACTCATACGGAATTTAGGAGATCCCACTTTATGCTTCTGATTTACCACTTACTAACCTTGTAGCCTCAGACAATCCTTTGTCTTCCAGGATATTTCCTGAGTGGTGATTAAGATCCCTTCCAGCTCTGATACTTTGGGCTAACTTCTGATGTTGACTCTGTATAGTCACACTTTCCACCTCTTTGGATGTATGGAGACCACGTTGTTGTTTGAGTGTATTTTGTTAAGCTGAGGGAATTCTACTTTTCTATTTTATAGTTTAGAAAAAGTAATGCTTAAAACTCTGCTTTCCTCAGACTAAGGTCATGAAATTCTGTTGGATTCATTAGTTCATATTACTCTATTAAGATATTTCATTCTCCTGATTAAAATTTATTGATCTCATATATCCACATATCTGTTTTTAAGAGTACCCTAAACTTGAAGATTCCTGTCCCTTTTCTCCAAACTGCAGTGGTTCTAGTATAGCACTTATTGTTTAAGAGATAAATATTTAGTCACTTCCGCAGTGGTTCTAGTATAGCACTTATTGTTTAAGAGATAAATATTTAGTCACTTGCACTAATCTCTTCGCTGCTGTACCAGGCTAAGTGACTTCGGTTGTGTCCCACTCAGTGCGACCCCATGGACTGTGGACTGCCAGGCTCCTCTGTCCATGGGATTCTCTAGGCAAGAATACTGGAGTGGGTTGCCATGCCCTGCTCTGGGAAATCTTCCTGACCCAGGGATCTGGCCTGCATCTCTTAAGTCTCTTGCATTGGAGGGCGGGTTCTTTACCCCTAGTGCCACCTGGGAAGCCCCAATCTCTTGGCAAATTGATAGATTTCATTTTTGTGATGACAGTGTGTGTATTTAGAAAATCTTCCCAGGTGGCACTATTGGTAAAGAACCCTCCTTTCAATGCAGAAGACTTACGAGACGTGGTTCGACTTCTGGGTTGGGAAGACCCCCTGGAGGAGGCCATGGCAACCCTCTCTAGTATTCTTGCCTGGAGAATTCCTGGCACAGAGGAGCCTGGTGGGCTGCAGTCCATAGGGTTGCAAAGAGTTGAACATGACTGAAGTGACTAAGCTCTCACTAAGTGATTATCTTTTTTTTTCCCCCTATGTGCTACATTAATATGTTTGGTTTTATTTCTGGTACTAAAACTTTATGTATTTTAAGGTATTTCATTGTATTTTCTTTTGATACCAATTAATTCAAAATTAAAAGTTCTTTGAATGCTTAAGCTTTGTTTCTTCTTTTGTTTGTTTATTTGTGTGTATTTATTTCTATCCTAGGCTCAACAACAAAGAAACCTGGATAACATCATCTTGCAACAACCCAGGATAGGTAGCAAGAGAAAATCTAAGAAAGAAGCATATACAATTTTTGATACAGAGATAGAAAGCACTAGCCCCAAGTCTGAACAGGATTCAGGAATTCTGGATGTTGAAGATGAGGAAGACGATGAAGAGGTAACTAACATTTGAACCAGGGCAGTGAACTTATTGTTCCTTTAAATGTAGTGTGTTTGAGATGTGATGAGGAGTTTATCCATGTAACATAGCTCGTGTGTTCTTCAGGGTATTAAAGATCATTTAAAATACAAGTGGTGTCTGATTTAAGGAAACTGAAGATGTACTAAGATATCTTAGGTTATAAATCTTTGTATTTTAAATATACTCACCCATTTTTTGTTTGTTTGTTTCAGTGTTTTTGATTATATACTGAGTACTTCATTAAGGGAAGAATAGAGTTTACCAGACCTAGAGAAAGAGATCTATATGACCTCCACTGAAGCTGGAACAAATTACTTGAGACAAATAAAAGATGTTACTTTAAACAGTGGGGTGTAAACAAAAAGCTTTCTTAGCCTTGAGAAATGGTTCAGATTTAAATTATTAAATGGTTCCAGAAAGTTGAGAACATATTTCTAGAAGAAATAAATGTATAAGTGATTATAGAGTATCTAGGAATTTTGAGACATGTCCATGCGGTCTTAGTTCTGTGACACTTCGAGGTAAAGAATAAGATTAAGTGGCTTAACTAGTATATTTTTATGTCTTTCTTTGTTGTTAAAAGTATATTTAATGTATTTTTAAAAATAAAACTACTGTGATATTTGAGATTTCCAGTTAAAATATTTTTGAGCTACTAATTATTTGCATAAACTGGATCATTTTTTTGTAAGTATAGTGGTTCAGAGCATGAACTTTGAAGACTTATGGACCATTCAGATATTGATTTTGCTATTTTATTTTACTTAAAAATTATGATTAATGATCATATTATTTACTTTTCAAATGTCCCTGAAATGAGCAAGAAACCATTTACTACTGTTCTCAGTAACCTGTTTTATCTTTGTTTGTCTCCTTTTCATTGTTTCATTTCTCCAGATAAAACTGGATTCTCTGTTTCTTCCCCATCCCTGTTCTTTGTTATATCCTTACTACCCTCCTTACTCTTTTCTCTCTGCTGAAACTACGGCCCCAAACTTTTCACTAACTTTGTCGTCTTAGATATTGCTTGGAACTTCTCACTATGTCTTCTCACTTAGTCTTCCAAACTAAAGTTTGGAACTTGAGTCTTTGGAACAAGTGCCTCTGCTATACAAGGTGGTCAGCAAATTTCAGTACTCTTCCTTGCTGATTTGTTTCATGTCATTATTATCAGAGTGCCTGTCCTTATGATCATTACTCTTTTTGCTTCAGAAATCAAATTGACACTATGTAAATGGGGCTGAAAAGCAAATAAATGGATTACTTAATTATTTGTCTAAGTCATTAGCATTTAACTGTCATTGCGTATCTGAGAGACTGTCATATATATAAGGTACTACATTCTTTTATGTAGTTTTTGTTATTGATGGGATATATTTCTATAATACAAATCAATAATTTTATGTACAGTTTATCAGGTTGTGTTTACTATGTGAATGGGCTACATTAATATTTCACTGGGCTTCCCTGGTGGCTCAGATGGTAAAGAACCTGCCTGTAGGGCAGGAGACATGGGTTCGATCCCTGAGTTGGGATGATACCCTGGAGAAGGGAATGGCTACCCAGTCCAGTATTCTTGCCTGAAGAATTCCATGCAATGAGGAGCCTGGCGGGCTACAGTCCGTCAGGTTGCAAAAAGCTAGACATGACTGAGCTACTACACAATAGTTAATAAAGTGTGAAAGTTTCATTTTAATCCCTGATGTAATTGGATAAAAAGAACTTTTAATAATTCTAAGATACAAAGCTAAGGAAAAGCCAGACATTTCCCTGATACCCATGGAAATAGATTGGGGCAGAGAAGACTTGATCCCCTGAGTATTTTTTAGCATTCTCTCTTGCCTGGAATGACTCATATGGTTGGATATGGATCCACCCAGCAGTCCATATTGTCAGGGATTAGACTCATCACAAGTGAGAAGTTTTAGTAGCAGTAAAATAAAGAATCAAGATCAAGATGAGGTCCAGTTAACATTTTAAATTTACATTTTTGATTACCATTAAGGAAATTAAATTCTGTCAGGCACTATGACTTAAGGAAACAAGTTAAACATAGTGTATGCCCCTGGATAATACACACCCCAAAGAGAGGGTTATGTGATAAGATGAAAGAATGAAAGATGTACACAGTTCTCATGTATTAGTGAGAGGCTTCTGGATATGAAGCTTCTGGATATTCTTTATCGTTAGCTCACTGAAGATGCTGGGCAAGTCCTTTTTAATTTTTGTGCCATATTTTTTCATTGTTTTGTCTTCTGACGTCCAGAGAAGATGAAGAAAGCCTGACTAGTACAATATGTTGGGGTTCCTCATAAAGGAAGTATTATAAGAATGTACTTGGAAGTTAGCATTTTAAAATGGTTATGTATCCCAAATCAAACAGAATTTGTATTAGAGATTTGCTGATTGAGCTCTTACAATAAGAATTCAGCACTTTGCTGTCATCTAATGGCATCCCATCTTAAAAAAAATCCTACCTTATATTTATTTACTTCTCAGTTTGAATCTTCTTCAAGTGCACATTCTTAATCTCAAACCTCATGTAGAGAATTATTTATTTAGATGTCTCCAAACTGGTTTCTTGGCATAGTTCTTGCATGGTGTGAATAAATTCTTCAGATAAGGTCTTCCATGACCCACTGTGACGTTCTGACCTTCATTCTTGTCATTCTTCAACAGACCTCATTGAGAGTAGCATAAATAGTTTTTGAAATATTTTGACTTTAAACTGTGGCATAGAATTGAGTAGTTCTTAATCTATTTGGAGGTCATATTTTCTGTGAGAGTTTGATAAGCTATATGGAAGCTTTACCAAGTAAAATCTATGTATATTCACTTACAAAAAATTCTGTATAAAATTTTAGGGAATTTGTGAAACTAATGTTGCCCCTAGGACTTAAGTTAAGAACCTGTGTTGTAGAGAGAGTGCTTCTTGAACTTAAATTTGCATAGAAATCAACTTGAAATCACATTTAAATGCAGATTCTGATTGTGTAGGTTGGGGGTGAATCTGAAAGTCTGCATATTTAACAAACTCCCAGGTAAGAACTATGCTTCTGGTCTCTGGGCGTACTTTGAGTTACAAGGCTACAGTGGACCATGAGGAAGCATTTTTTGTACATAAAGCAAGCAAACTCATGAATGTTTAGGTGTCTTACTGATTTTTCATTAATGTGTCCTAACATTTTTCAAGCAAAGAATACAGACTTGAATCAGTTCAGTTCAGTCCAGTTGCTCAGTCGTGTCCAACTCTTTGAAACCCCATGGACTGGAGCACGACAGGCTTCCCTGTCCGTCACCAACTCCCGGAGCTTACTCAAACTCATGTCCATTGAGTCAGTGATGCCATCCAACCATCTCATTCTCTGTAGTCCCCTTCTTCTCCCACCTTCAATCTTTCCCAGCATCAGGGTCTTTTCTATAAGCAGGGTGACAATATACAGCCTTGACATACTCCTTTCCCAATTTGGAACCAATCTGTTGTTCCATGTCCAGTTCTAACTGTTGCTTCCTGACCTGCCTACAGATTTCTCAGGAGGCAGGTCAGGTGGTCTGGTAGTCCCATCTCTTTCAGAATTTTCCACAGTTTGTGGTGATCCACACAGTCAAAGGCTTTGGTGTAATCAATAAAGCAGAAATAGATGTTTTTCTGGAACTGTCTTGCTTTTTCGATAATCCAGCGGATATTGGCAATTTGATTTCTGGTTCCTCTGCCTTTTCTAAAACCAACTTGAACATCTGGAACTTCACAGGTCAAGGGCTGTTGAAGCCTGGCTTGGAGAATTTTGAGCATTACTTTGCTAGCCTGTGAGATGAGTGCATTGTGCTGTAGTTTGAGCGTTCTTTGGCATTGCCTTTCTTTGGGATTGGAATGAAATCTGACCTTTTCCAGTCCTTTGGCCACTGCTGAGTTTTCCAAATTTGCTGGCATATTAAGTGTAGCACTTTCACAGCATCATTTTTTAGGGTTTGAAATAGCTGTTGAATAGAAAGTCATATTTTTGTTTCTAAAATCTGTTGCTTCCCAGGTGGCACTAGTGTAAAGAACCTGCCTGCCAATGCAGGAGATGTGAGTTGCAGGTTCCATCCTTGGGTTGAGAAGATCCTCTGGAGGGGGGCATGGGAACCCACTCTAGTATTCTTGTCTGGGAAATTCCATTGATAGGGGATCCTGGTGGGCTACAATTCATGGGGTTGCAAAGAGTCAGATACAACTAAAGTGACTTAGCATGTACACATAATAAATTAGAGCATTATTTTTAATGAAATTTTATAATTCTGATTTAACATACTTCAGTTTAGGTGTTTTTTTTCAATATCTGAAGAATGTTTTGCCCTTTCCTGTGTTTTTTTTTTAATTTATTTTTATTAGTTGGAGGCTAATTACTTTACAATATTGTAGTGGTTTTTGTCATACCTTTCCTGTGTTTTTAATGGAAATATACTTAATATATTTTTTGAGCCAAGTGACATTTGTACATTATTTACTATGTCTTTAGTTTGATAATAATAGTAGACTATAAAATGAGATGGGTAAGGAGAACTGAATACCTGCAAAGTAGGTATCCACATAGTAAGCAGATTGTATATTTTTAAACTGAAGTAAAGTTTGTGCCAGAGATGGGAAAAACTTAATAGCCTGGGGATGAAAAACTTAATAGCCTGAAGATGAAGTCACAGTAGTAAGTTGTCATCTTGGATGAAAAATAATGACTAAATGTTGAACTGACTGGCAAAATCAGTCTCTTGATTGCTAGTTGCGAGAAAACTATTCCCCTGTAAATTCTCTCCCTATTTGTATTTTATTTTTGTCTAAGCTAATGAAAGGGTCACCTTAATTAAGGTAAGTTTTTTTATTTTAACTTGTCATATATGTATAAAGTTGAACTATATAAATTGCTGGTATTTGCCCATTTTTTGATCAACAGTTTAATTAGTTTTCAATGGAAATATATATGAATTGTAGAATTAAAAAT